GGCTAAGTTATGCCAGAAGCATGGCTGGGTCCTCAAAGGCTGYTTTGAATGTTCTTGACTTTTGCAGGCTACAGGGTTGGGGAAGAATAGAACAGGAGTATAGCTAAATTCTATCAGTTGTTATTCTATGCACAGTAGATAAAAGTCATCTTCAGAAGTTAAAAGTTACTTCTGTTGGAAATCCTTTTTATTTCATATAATCTCTTTTCATGATTTAGGTAGGTGAGCTCTAGAAAAAGCAGCTTTTTTAACAGCATGGCACATTAGTGGGCAAGGTTTCAAGACTGAGAGTTAAGCCATCTCTGTGTCAGTGAATCTGAAGCCCTGCTTTGGACAAGTAGATTTGAAATTTCTAAATTCAGCTGTAAGGTTAATGGTATTCCCTATAGAGCAACAGGGCCTGCTGCATGCCTATTTTTTAAAAACTGGAGAGATGTAACTAGGCTGTCAGTAGAAAAAGTGGTGGCACAAAATGGTTATAACTATTTAGAAGTTAGTAGAACTATTTTTTATTAACGTAGGAGCTCTAAGAGAGCTGAGTATAAATTTACCAAAATCAYTTACTGTTTGGCCTGCCCTCTTGTATAGTATCAGAGAGGCTGAAGACTGCAAGTGTCACTAGTTGTAAAGTGGGGTTCAAAAGGGATGATGGGACCAAGAAAGCTTGAATGTTGCATAGATTGTATTAATTATGTTAAGAAATAGAATTAGTAGACTTACATAGAGGTGCATCTATGAAARATCCTAGCTATTCTAGGATTAGAAAAGGCCTTTAAAGGCAGGACTRATTGGAAATCAGTAATTTCTATTTGAATTTTCTACACAAAGTCCCTGGTGAGTAGCAAAAAAGCTAATCTGCTGGGGTTCCCTTTTCTGTCCGGTCTTTTCTGCATGTGCAGCCATGACTGCTACAGTTGAAGACAGAATATATTTAGCTTTTTTTGACTTTTCTGTATGACTCCTAATGGATGTTTTAAATGGAAGTCAGTGAGATTATGGGGACAAATAAAATGCTGTCCAAGTATATTGTTAATACTGCTAAGTACTGGCATCTTTTAAGATGCATTTTTTAACACCAGTGATGTAGTATTTTGAAAACAAAGCACAATTTTCCTTTGACTGTATCACCAGCAGTACTCCATAAACCACTCAAATGGTCCAGTGTGGTCGCTTGCGGARTGATATGAAATTACTCAGAGTTGGAGCGTTGGGTGGTGTTAACATTATAGGATATTTAATATTTGGATATCTCATTTTTGAAGTTAAGTTACGACAGGAACATGACTCGTTGCATTTATTGAAATCTGAAGTACTTTTTTCCTGATGGCTTGGAACAAATAAAGATGAGGCAGCCAAAACATTAATGCACAATAATCAACTACAAATGTCTGTAAACGTGTTCTGTTAGGTTGCTATGAAACTCTTTATTGCTGGCGAACAAGAAGATGACTGTGAGACTGCTTTAAAGCTGTTGTCTCTTACACAAAGGGCAGGGGTAATTTGAACATTTATGGGATACTCTTTGTTCTGAAAATCACAAAGAACACTCTTTTTTTTCTATAAGTGAAATTGAACCAAGTATTGCTTTTTTTCCTTAATGTTTGTTCTTCATAATTCCAGATTTTCCATATTAGGGAAGACTTCTAGAGTGTTTTTTTCACTTCCTTGAAATGCATCTAGTCTTACTACTGAGTTATTGGGATGGAGAGATAAGAAGCATCCTTTTTTGTCACATTACCCTGTTTGCTGTATTGCTTCCCTCAGTACGTGGCAAAGGGCACCAGCCTGTTCAGGTGGCAGAAACCAGGGATGTTTATAAAGTCAGGCAGGTTAATGGAAATGCGCACCAGCGTAATGTCTTCCTGCGGAGAGTGACGCACCTGGCTTCAGATAATGTAGAGATACTGCTTTCACCTGCACTGACAAGTCAGCTTGTTGAGTTGGGGTTTGTTTTGAGCTGTGCGGCTGACGCAAATCATCTGAGARCACCATATTATAGGAGATGTTTCTYTGTTGGTAATGTAAKGAAATGAAATATGGAAACACAGAGTATCTCTGGTTTATTTGTCTGCTTCAGTCASATTTCAGCTGAAATCTGACTCAGCTGGTTTGCAGGGGGTGATGTGAATAACTGTTTATTGCAATGGACTTCTTTTTCACATTTTGAAAAGCAGTGAAAAAATAAGAAAATGTAAAATAAAATAGAAATGCATAGGCTTAATGCATTTAAATGCTAAATAAATGTTTAAATATTTTGTGTTAGTTTTAGTAATGATTTTCATACTGTATCAATAAAAATAGAATATGTAATGTTTGGGGAAATTGGTAAATTTGTTTTATCCTAACCGTGTGTATGTGTTTTTATCTTGAGGGCCTAGATTTTGTAAAGAAAACTCTACCCTTTGAAACTCTACCCAAGCTTGTTTTCTGATCTAATAAATAGTAAAGTGCTTAAGGATTTGCMTTTGAGAGGTCAGTGTTATTGTTTTAATGCTATAATCAAAACCATTCCTTGTTTTAGCACATGGTACTTCAGAGTTGTGCCTTTAGTCGTGAAGGTCCAAATTAGGTGCTTCACACAACTCACATTACAGCTTGTTATATTTCACTTTTGTTGTATTGTTTTTCACTTCATTTATTTCATCATACTTCATTGATAGCAGCATGATGCCTCTAATTTAATATCTCAGTAGCATTTCAGCAGTTTTGTTAGGATGTATTTTGTATTTTGAATTATAGAGTGACGTACTACTGTGGTGTAACTAACGCGCTTTTAAGTTGTCACCACCCTAAACTGATATTAAATAATTAATTTTCAAGATGTATCAATTATTAGTTAAAGGTCATTTTACTGGATTATTCAAATACATTTCAATTTTTGTATGAGGGTATAAAATTATTTATGGARCCTGTGTATTAGGCTATTTCAGTGTGCTCTGAAAAACCTGTTAATAAAGAATAAGGTTAGGTAAGTTTTAAGTCTTGCATCAAAATATCCTGTAAGTAAGTGAATTGAAATATAGTATTCTGCCAATGGATTTATAAGAAGCAGGAAAGTAGGAAGTTGGTACTAACATTACCATACATCTTCATTATATTAATGCATTTTTAGTTTATTAAAATAGGGTTTGTTTCAAATTTAAATTTAGGTGTGCCAGTGAAAGAGAAGGGAATCAAGATGGCTAATTCATGGGATGCTAATKAAATAAAAATGAAGGAAGGAGATGTTTGCCAAATGTTGATGGTGTTACAAATGGATAGAGGTACAGGGACAGCTCTCRTGGTTGTATCTAAGGCAGGGTTTCCACACCTGCGCAATTGTGGGGGTAAGGCCTGGGGCAACTACATATTTGCATGGGGAGTTTATTTTCCTCTTTCTGTGGCCATGATGCCTGTCAGCTGAGAGAGTGCACCAGAGGTTGCAATGTAGGAACTGAGATTACGGCTCCTTCAGGAATGAGAACAATTTACACAGTAAACAGTCCATCTAGGGGGAAAAAATAATCTTGCATTCTCTTTGTTTCCACTGTCTTGTGTGAGAAATCATGGTGTGTCCTGCAATTGTGGCAGCTCTTTTGACTTGTGTTGGCTTATGTAACCTCACTGACACCATCAACATTGTAGTACCATTTGATATCATTTTTTTACTGGCTTTAAATGACTGTTCCTTGTGGAGGGAAAAAAGAGAAAAGCAGAGGGGTGCCAACATATTTATTTATATATATATACATACATACATGCATATGGACAGGATACAAGGAGTGACAGTGGTGTGCTGGGTGATGCGTGAAAATAAAACATATGTACTTTATAGGTTTGTTAAACTTGCATCCCTTTAATATATCACAAATATAGCCTTAGACAATGGTTTTCCCCAATCATCCCTTTCTGAAAACCTTTATTAGCTTTCCTTTTTCTACTTTTTCTTACAGCTATTGAAATTAGAAGTCCTCCTAGTAACAGCTTTCCCATTTATTAGTCTGTTTTTCTGGTTAGTTATTTCATGGTTATTTAGTTATTGTTTAATTTATTTCATAACCACTGATGTGGACTGTGCACGTTTTTCCATCCAATTTGAAGTCTTGGCATTTTCATGCATGATGGATTTCTATAGAAAGAAACCTACTGTCTATTTCCCAGTGTTCTAAAAAGAAGATTTAATAGCAGACAGACCTTTCTGCTGTACTCCTTTGGCCAAAAAGTACCACTGGCAAATATTGTAAATATGTCTTATAGAGGATATTGTAGTGGTATTTCATCTCCCTCCCACTCTTTCTTGTTTTTAGTTTCGTAAACTGAACAATTTTGTCTGCAACCATGTATTAGATTGATACCTATTTGGGAACTGAAATTACTGTGGCACAGAAATATGTCAGGACTGAAATAACCTTCTGCACTCCCATAGGTGAAAAATGAAATAAAATGTTTTGTGTTTGTAGCAGGAACAGCGTTTTTTTTTGTCTTGCCTTGGAGACAAAGCAAATCATTTAAGTGTGGCCTTACCTTGTGAGAGAAGAATGTAAGAATGGTCACTGCTGACAGGCAGTGTGGACTAGAGGCGGTGTGCTTTTGTTCAGGTGGTCCTGTTCATCTGTCTGCCATCAAGTAGGGACAGTTAGTTGTCAGTGCCTGGAAGAAACAATGCGTCTCTTTATTGTTAACTTTAAAAAATGGTGGTTAGTATTGTTTAYTCCCATATAAGCATGGGGGTAAGCTTAAGTGTGAATACATCAGAACAAATTTCCCTTCAAGTGTTAAGAATGTTTTAAGTTACAGAAACTGTTCTTAACTTTAGTCTTACCTACTGTTCCTCTAARTTGTTAAACTATCTGTACCTGTAATGGATGGTTATTGTTTCTACATCTAGAAATGCCCATATACTTCACTGTGTGTGACTTGTTGATAAGTAAAATACTTCTTGGACAATATTTTTCCACTTAAAACTGGTGTATTAAAGGAATCGTGTGTTGTTTTTTGAGATTTTTTTTTTTTTAATATAGGTAAAGACAGAGTTTTCAACACCCCTTTATGTGAACAAGGAATTGTTGGCTTTGGTATTGGAATTGCTGTTACRGGTGCTACAGCTATTGCAGAAATTCAGTTTGCAGATTACATTTTTCCAGCATTTGATCAGGTTAGTATTAACAAATTTGACAGTGGTTTAAAGAAATCTTACAACTGTTTAAATTACTCTTCTGTTAGCAGTAGTACTTGGTTTGAATATGTGATTTTTTTGCAAATATATCCACAGCTGTRCTACTAACATTTATGCATGCTTTAAGTAAACAGGCATAAACTACAAACAGTACTAGTACTGTACTGTAAACAGTACACTGTACCAACGCCAATTTGAAGGCTTATTAAATAATGGAAATTAAAGATGTGGTTTGAGCAAATGTCTGTTTGTTTTGATTTTTGGTTTTGTGGCTGTGTTGGCTTCATCTGCCTTAAATTCATCAGCCTGTGTCTTCCAAACACAGTTTCTCATTTCTTGCATATAGCTGCAGCAGGCCATGTGTCCACAGGACAAACTACAGATCAGGACTGGGCTGATTGACAGTATCAAATGAGGAAACAACTGGGTTATAAGGCTACCCCTGAGGCTTAGGCATCTAACTTGAACACAATAAGCAATTGGTTTATTTTCCTTGGAAATGTTTGTCTTTCCACCTACTTACAGTATTACTTTGCATCTAATTTCGTCCTCTGAATCTCATACATGGAACAGATGATGTAGTTACTTCCCATGTATTGAAGTATTTTGATGCATACCTAAAGGTACTGGACTGAATGTTACTTTTGTAATTCAATCTTCCCAGATTGTTAATGAAGCAGCAAAATACCGTTACCGCTCTGGAGATCTGTTCAACTGTGGAAACCTCACCATTAGAGCACCCTGGGGCTGTGTGGGTCATGGTGCACTATATCACTCTCAAAGTCCAGAAGCCTTTTTTGCTCATTGTCCAGGAATAAAGGTATAGTAACTCTTATTTTATGAAGATTAATTTTTTAATTTGTTTTATAATGGATTGACCTGACTAACAATGAGTCTGGGTGCAGACAGGGAAGAGTGGATATCAGTCTACAAAAAATATCTGAATATGTTAATTAAAAACTATTAGAAGACAAAACTSTGTTTGAAAATTTTTAGCCATTATTGAGGCAATCTTTAGTAGATACAGCATTTTGTATTTGTATCTACACAGTTTTGTGTCTAGTGTAGTACAGAACCTAAAACCTAACACTAATAAGTAGTACTTTCTATTTTTTTTTCCTTTCTGTATCTGTCTTAAGTGCACTATTGAATTAATTTATGTGAAGGACACTGCTGGGCAGTGGGCACAAAYTGAAACASCAGAAGTTCTGTCTGAACATGAGGAAGCACATGGTACAGCTTGCCCAGACAGTTTGCGGGGTTTCCATTTTTGGAGGTATTCAGAATTTGTCTGTGCATTGTTCTGGGCAGCTGACCCTGGATGGCTCTGCTGGGTCAAGGACATTGGACCAGATGACCCTCTGGAGGCCCCTGCCAAACTCAACTGCTTGGAGGTTCTGTGAGGGAGACCTTTAGGCAGACTTTCTTCCTGAGATGGTGGCATCCCTTGAAGTGAAGATGCCTAGGGCTTAGGTGGTTAAGTTTCCTACAGAAGAGGGAGGAGCAGTGTCTAGTCATCTCAGTTTAAGAGAGAACTGTTTGACAGGCTCTCCATTTTCTCCTGAGTCAATTTTTGTCTATGARCTTGTACTTCTGGGTTAGCTGGCATCCAGTCTGTTGAGCAATGASTCATGGCTGATTAATGTGGAAGATTTAAGCAGAACCGCTATTTGTATTCWAAAGACACATGTTCATTGTTTATGTGTTGTTTAAGCTGTTGTCTATGTATGGTTTTGGTGTCCTAAAACTTAAGATATTACTCATCTTCAGAGAGGCCATAGCCATTTCTCCTACTTGTTTTTCTCTTTACTTAAATAAAAAACCTGTATTATTCACATTTTATTTCATTATATTTGAGGAATGGCATGTATTTTTGTCTTTKGGTGTTCTTTATGATATTTGTGGTCGTCTTCAGAACTTGAAAGTATTTCCTGATTATAGACAAAAGCAATCTACAAAGTCCTTTGCTAGGTTATTGAATCAAATGTTTTCTAGAGCTTGTTTAAAAACWAAAGTATCACCTGAAAGTAAAACATCATCATCAATGCCTGTTGTTTAACCTCATCAATGTGCAAAATAAAATTCAAAATTTGAAGTATGTTTTAATAATGTAGCACTGATGTTAATTCACTTTGTAAGAACAGCTCAATCTGTACATAGATTTATTTAAAGCAAAGAATTGCTTAGCRTTAAGTATTTTTGAGGAAGTTTCTAGCAGAATCGCAATTTTAAATAAACTATTTAAACAATATTTTTACAGGTTGTTATTCCAAGGAGTCCTCTGCAGGCCAAAGGATTGCTGCTGTCATGTATAGAGGACAAAAATCCATGCATATTCTTTGAACCTAAGATACTTTACAGAGCTGCAGGTAAAGATTTGTATGTTGTATTTTCTAACAAAGCAACAATGTTTGGGGTTTTTCGCACATATATGTTGATATTCACAGCTAAAATACTACTTCAGTCGAAGTTTTGACTTGTTTGATCTCCAGCTATGTTTTGGATTGGGTTTTTAGAGGACTTGTGAAAATTGAATAAATTCTCTAAGTTTGACTGCAAAGAGAAATGAGCATTTACAGTCTTATTTATGCTCAGTTAGTTTTGGAAGTKCAATGCTTTGCAGTCTCAGATTAAAAAAAAAGAAATAGAGCTAAGAGGTATTATTCTTTATCAAATTCCGATATAAATTTGGCAGAAATTGTATTGCTTTCTTGTGTTAACTCTAGATACTAAAATAAGTTTCCAGATTAACTTTTATTTTTCCAAAAGAACTGAACCCCACCATTATTGCTTTCCCAAAGTTAAGATTTCTTTGAAATGTTTAATTTCTAAAAATCTTCAAACTGCCCACTTAGATTTTAACCTTATTTGAAAGGAAATRTGGTTGCCATTACTTTTTTCATTTGTTTTAATCATAGTGAAATTTCTGGTTCAAAGTACAACTTTTTAAAAACTCTCATTATGTGTAATATATTGGAACAGAGTAAATTCACAATGATGGTGCTTTGAGTTGGTCCTAAAAGGTTGCTTGTTAYTTTGGCCTACTGAAACTGGACTGAAAACAGAAAATGAGTGAAAAGTTTTACMTGTGGAGATAGGCAGAGAAATTGGRTGAGCAACTGATAAAATAGAACCGAAGCCATGACTTACCTAAGCATTTCTGTGACCTATGGCTTTGTATGCGAACTATGCTGAGTTTATCAATTGACCCTGTGGGCTGAATTTGAGTGACAGACAAAATGTTTCTATTTTGCTTTGGACCTTCTAACAGCACTTTTCTATCAGTGCAACCATTTTGTCAGTAAATTTATCCTGTTCCTAGGGAAACAATAATAAGGGAAGGATTTAGACAGCAGACATCAAAACTGCAAAACATACTAGTACAACTCAGGAGCAAATAGCATATTTACTGGTAAAACTGCTTATTTGCTTTTATATTTTCAAAAAAGACCCAGAAGTTCCATTATCAATGTAAATTTAAAAGTGCAGCTAYGTTTAGTTTGGTGGGTGAGATGTGCCTGTAGAGTATTGCATTCCTTAAGTTCAGTGTGTTTTGAGACCTTACTAAAATTTAGCTAAAAGGCCTCTATCCATTCATTTAAAGCAAGTAGTTTGAAAAATGAGCTCGAATCTGAGTCCTGTTGAACAAAGACAAAACATTAAGTTTAAAACTCCCCTGCCTTTAAAACTACCCCTTCTCCCCAGTATTTACAAGTCATGAGTACAGACTGCAGAGTTAATAAAATACTTGCTTTCCATACTGGCACGAAAGGCTGCACATCAATATCACATACCTTTTGAGAATATGGGGACGTTTTTGTGTTTGAGGAAATGACTTGTAAAGCAATTGCTGGATCATTTAGTGAACATAAATCAGGCCAGTGATCGAAATCTCGTATAAAGATGTGCTGAAATAGTGGTTAATGTGATTTATGTGCTGGTCAGTAACCAGCTATAGCGTTACTGTTGGTAATTTCTAAAAGACTGTGATTTCCTCCTGTATTCTGATGGCTGATTTCCAGAGACTTTGCCTACATTTTTTTCTTAAAAGTTCTAAGAACATCAGTTTAGCAGTGTAGGTTGAAATTTTTAGTGCATTTGCATCAACGTGTAACAGGGATGATTGTAACAGGTAACTTCTTTCATCTACATGGATATTTTGCCATTTCTAGAATGTAAAGCAGGGATGTTTTACTATAYGGAATGGTTTTTATGCTCCTTTTATTTTCATTGTTCTTTGTGTTACCAGTAGTTTCTCATCTTCACTATTAAGCTGTCCTTTGTGAGTTAGGTCAGCTTGGACTGGAAGACAAMTGGTGTCTGGGAGGTTCTTCTATAAAATTGATCTCTCTTAGGGTTCGTTCTAACTCTTCTGGCCCTAGTCAGGGTAATCCCACCATAGAAACCAAGTGGCCAGGTGAATTCAGAAATGGGGATTCAGAAAGATCAAGAGGCAGCAGCAATAAAACACAAGCCTGGTAAACAAGAATAAGATAAATGGCAGAAAGAAGCATTTTAAAAATGTGACTGACTTGTGTTTCATAGAGAAATTTTTTACAATATCCCTTGTGAGTGTGTTGATTCTAGCAGGAGAAAGAAAATCATAAAGATTCAGAAAATCGTAGGGATTCAAGTAAGCTTGAACTATATCTGTATTTCTTATGTCTTTGTTTTAGTGTGTCARAACAGTACAGGGTCTTCTGAAGGCTGGGAACATGCAGGCTTTCCAAAACAAGAACACAAAATGGTATCAGTTGTCCTCTATTACTTCATGTATCTTCTTCTTTCCTTTTTAGCATGGTATAAAACTTCACCTAAGGTTTGGGTTCTCATTGTTCCAGACAAAAATAATTTTCTTTGTTTCCATGATGATGTCTCAGTCATTGAATAATGAAATTATATTGCCCTTATTATAGCTTTTTTTTTTTTTTTTTTTTTGCTTGAACTTCATGTGAATAGACATGTTTGTTTTGAGAGCTGTGTGACTGATTTTACAGTGGGTGTGTAGGGACAGCTGAAAAATTAACGTTTTAAGGATGTTAATGGGAAGGAAGATTTTCTATCAGTAAAATTAATGTAGGCTTTTAAGCCTCATCATTTTCCTCTAATGGAGTTTTTTTTCTTCCTTTGGGGCCTCTAAATATTTGTCCATGACATTTTGTTCAGAGTTGTTGATGTATTTGAAGTTACAGCTGAAAATAAAYTGTAGGTGGGGTAATCTTTAAAACACGGGATATCTGTCTTCATTCAGGTAGCCTGAAGCTAATAATACTTTGTTTAAAATAAACAAGGAAAAAATCAAACCAAAATAATGACAAAGATCCCACACCCACTTCTCCCCATCAAAAATTTATGCCCATTGTTTCTGCTCAAAAGTGTTGCTATTATTGTTAAAATTAGATGTTTTATGCCAGTGATGGAAGGCAATATGTATCTAGCTTAGGACATATATATAACCTGAAGTTGTTTCTTGAGAGTGTTAAACAGGATGCCAGGTCATTGCTATTTTATGAAAGCTCATGCAGAATCAATCTTGTGATTTTGCATCTGACACATACCTCCAAGCTATATAGGCCCACTAATTGCTTTCAAGTTTTTTGGTTRCTCTTATTTAGGAAGTTGTTTTTGTTTGTTTATTTTGTTTGCTGATAATAGGGCAGATTTTGCAGCATTCATGCTTAGCTTTCTTCTCATAAYAGTAAAGAAATTGTGCAAAAATGAGAAGGCTCTTCATAAGAATGTAAGTCTGGTCTCCAAGGTAAATCAGAGAAATACGTTGAACAACGTATTTCAGTGTAACTGTCACATGGAAAGTGAGATAACAAATTTTTTTAAAATTTATGAGTTTAGCTCAATTTCTTCCCAAATGACCACAGATTTTCCTATTCAAATATGTTGTATGTTTATTCAGAAATGGGGTAAAACTAACCACACTATCTAATGAACATTAATTTCTAAATGAATATTTGCTACCCAAACACGCCTACAAGATACAAAATTAAAGTTAGGCCTTAAGTCTTCCCCTTAGTCAGCTGTTTGAATTCCAGGTGGATGTTTAAGTAGCACTGCCTGAAGTTCACCACATTCACACTGTGATGAACCAAGAAGAAAAAGCAAATTCCAAAGTGAAGAACAACTCTAAAGGAACTTTTTGGAAATGTTTTCCAGTTCATTGAAARAATAATGCACACCTTAAATATCCAAGAGCTGTAGTAATGCCAAAGGGAAGGAGTGGACTTAAAGCTAAGRTCACAGAATCGGTAAAACAGTAAATAGTTTGGGTTGGAAGTGGCCATGTTGTCCAACCCCTGTGCAATAAGCAGGGACATCTTCAACTAGATCATGTTGTTTGGAACCCCATCCAGCCTGACCTTAAGTGTTTCCAGGGATGGAGCTGCTRTTTGAAAGCTGTTCCAATGTTTCACCACCATAATTGTAAAAAACTCTTGTAGCTAATCTAAACTGACTTTATAAGCCCCCTTTCAATACTGGAAGGCCACACACTGTACATTCTCCCTAGAGCTTTCTCTTTTGCAAGCTGAAAAATCCCAGCTCTTCTCAGCCTGTCTTCATAGGAGAGGTGTTCCAGCCCTCTGATCATCTTCATGGCTCTCCTCTAGACCCACACCAATAGCTCCGTRTCTTTCCTGTGTAGACAGCCCCAAAGCAGAATCTTAAATTTTGCCTGGGTATCTGTTAATAGTAGATTTCAGAAGTTACAATTTGGAAGTGAACTATTTTGCTTGAATCAAATGCARTTGGTATGTTTCATGTTCTGCATTAACTCTGATGTGCAAACAATTTGAGATTTGAGATTTGTTATCAGGAAGTGGGACTGAGCATGTTTGGTTCTTGTAACTGCCATCCTCATCTTTTRGGTTAGGTTTGTGTCCYTGTATGTTCTTCCTTAGGGCTTCTCCCTCTTCCTACTATCTTCTGCTGTGTTGTAAAGATCCTTGTCTAGACACCCTTCAAGRAGCAGATGCTGTCTTCTTACACATAACCATACAAGTGTTTATCAGAAGTTTTGTATATGTTAATTTTCCTTCAATAATATTAGGAAGGAGCAAAGAAATGTAAGCCTGAGTAAAAATCCAGAGTTAAATATGCAAATACACATACAAAGAGAGAATTCTGTTGCTACTTAACTTATGAGATCATAATGTTATTGAAAGTGTTGTAATGATGTCCTCCTAAATGTCAGAGATACTAAGAAAATATCTGAATTAAAACAGAAAAGGAGGCTTTGATTTATAAAAAGTGTTAACAGCCTGTGCAGTGTCAAGAGCACATAATGGTTATGAATCAAAGGAGAAGATGAGTCACCCTGACATTATCAGGTTTAGACATCTTGTGGAGAACCTACTCTGATGTTTTTTGACCTTTTCAGTTTCATTTAATTGTACTATATATGACATTGGTGGTGTAGAAATAAATACGACTTGCATCAGTGGTTGTTATAGAGACAAGGCAGGTAAGATGAGAAAACGTGTTTTCTTTCTGCTGTTCAGACTGCTCCTTTAGAAAATGCAACAGATGTTGTAACCTCTCAAAATTAACTTGTCATGGTCCTTTTTCACTGATAATTACAACTTCTTGTTAATTTCTGTATTTGAAATTTGTATTTGAAACATTTGATTTAAAATGCTTTATTTCTCCAGTAACAGATGAATAGGCTGCTTTGTATGTAAACATTGTTATCCTGGATTAGATAATTATAATGAAATAATATTAATTGAATAATTTCATATGCTGCTTTTCATCTTTATTGGTTGAGGAAGGAGATTTTGCAAAGGCAATCAAGGAAAATCCTTCCAAATCGGACTTTACTATAAATTTTTGACAAGCTGAATTTTCAATTTTAAATTGTCAGGTATTATAGATGATTTTATTTAATGGATGTTTTGTTGCAGAATGGTTTAGTTATAGTAAGAAACTAGTTAATTTGTGTAATTGTATGTTTTGTTTCATTTTTCTAAGTAGATGAAACCATTACACAGAGAAAAAGCTTTTATTTTTGTCGCATGTACACCTTCCATTGCTTCCTCTGACTCATCCCACTCACTTCAAAACCTTCTTGTTCATTTCAGTATCCTGGGTTTCCTCTCCAAGGTGCCATGGTATCGTTTTAAGTTTTTTGTTCTCTAGGTTTCATGTAGGTGACTATTTCAGTTTTTTGTTCTCCAGGTTTCATGTAGGTGACAAAAACAGTTACACAATGCAATTAGTATAGTTGTGGGTTTCATTGTCTTTCAGGATCTGTTTCTTTTGCCYTAGGGTTGTACAATGTGCAAAATCCATAGAAACCTGATCTGCCACTAATGTGCAGTGAGCAAGGGCTGGATGTGCCTTTCTTCTCTTTCATTCCTAGCCCTATATTCTTCTATCCACTTGTTATCCAAAGAAATTATTACAGAAAGACATCGATATTTTACTAYGTGGAAAATTGTTTGCAAAGAGATCTGACTTCATACTATGTTTAGAAGCACCTTGTGTTTAAAATACATTTTTAAATTTTCTTTTCCTTGATTAAATGGATTTGTGTTGTTAAACTGTGCTGAGAAAGAATTTGTTGTTATGATTTTAGAAAGAATGATTTGGTTAATATCTATGTCTCTTCTGTRCCTGTTCAGGTGAAGTAAAATATCTCTAACCTTAGTATAGGCAAAAACATTGTTTACTGTGAGGTTGATCAAACATAGGCACAGTTTGCCAAGAGATGTGGAGTCTCTGATTGTGAAAATGCTCAAAACTTGACTGAACATGGCCCTGAATGACCAGCTCTGAGCAGGGAGCTTGGRCTAGGTGATCTCCAGAGGTCACTTCCAACCTCAGCCATTCTTTGATTCTGTGACATATGTGACATAATACATATTATCCACAAGAAAAAAAAAATTAGTATGCTATAATTAAATATTATTTGCTACTTCATTTATTGAAGTTATGTTTGAAACTTGTAAGCCAGGAAAAAACTTAGGTCATTCTACGTGTGTTAGATCTACCATAACAATGAAGGAAAAATACAAACCACTTTCTGCTGATGTCACTCAGGGAGATTCTTTATCGTAACTTCCTGCTGAACAAAATTGTTTTTTGAACTCAATAATTATTTTATGAGCTAAGAAATGTGTTAACAAAAAAAGGCAGGGTGTTTTCGTTATAAATCGTTTCTGTGTATTTAGAAGGAGTAAGGTTTATTTTTTTCTGCTTATCACTAGAATATGTTTTACGAAGTATTATTTGACTTGCTGGTGCAGAAACAAATTCATCTTTAGATCAAAAGAGTATTTATTTTAAAACATTATATRTGCATGTYTTCTATCATWGTTTTAGTCATTAAACCAGTCAATRTATTAGAGCAMTGATTCAAAATCAGCCACAACTGACCTATTACTTTTCCATCTGAATACTAGTAAATGAGTCTTGAGTGGAGCTACCTTAAATGTTTCAGAGAAGAGAAGATGGCTGATTCTTGTCTACTCTCTTGATTTGTGGTATATTTTTGATGAATAGACAAGATTTTTTTAAAAGAAAAAATATTTAGACTTATTTAAAACAGCTGTAATTAGAAGTTCTTGCTGACACTTTCTGTGTAGATTCTGAAAACTTTTAACTTCAATTTAAAACATAAAGCTGTAGAGCATCATATTTGGCAGATATCAGGAGGATGCTGGCGGGGCTATTCCTTCATGTCTGAGTATTAAAGTATAATTTCAAGACTCCCTTGAYGATTATTAGAATAATCAATAATTCTAACCAGTTAGTGGTTTCTTGAGATTTTATCACGTGTGCAATTGATAAAAGCAGTGTCTATCTCCAAATATGATGCTGGCATTTTGACTTGATGTACACCAGAACTTAGTACTATCTTTTGTGTGTGTATATATGCATCATCTTGTTGTGGTATAAAACTTAGATGAAATTCTACACTGAACATATTTTTAATAATGTAAATARAAATAATTTGAATYACAGCTAAACCTTTGAAATKAATSCTAATACTTAGTTWTTTTGGTGTWATGCTAATAGAATCRCRYAATTGTTAGGGTTGGAAGAGACCTCKAKTGATCATCCAGTCCAATACCCCTGCCAAGGCATGGTTAYCTAGAGTGTGTTCAGGTGGGTTTTGAGTATCTCCAGAGAGGGAGATTCCACAACCRCCCTGGGCAGCCTGTTCCAGGCCTCTGCCACCCTCAGCATACAGAAGTTCTTCCTCATGTTGAGGTGAAACTTCTTGTGTTTTGGTTTATGGTCATTGCTCTTCATCCTGTTGCCGGGTGCCAGTAACATACTCTGTGTGATTTTGGTCTATTGTTTTAGATTGCTTTAACATTGAAGGAAGATTTCACTCTATGTTTTTGTGGGATAATATTGACTAATAAAGGAATCTAATGCTTATTTTCCCCTCTTTTCTCTTTATTCAGTGGAACAAGTTCCTGTAGAGCCCTACAACATTCCACTGTCTCAAGCTGAGGTGCTGCAGACGGGCAGTGATGTGACAATGGTTGCTTGGGGCACTCAGGTCAGTAAYTCTCTAACAAGCTATGTGTCACCCAGCAAAGCCTAGCCTAGGGGATAGGTGATGTTTGCATTCAAGCTCAAGTGCCAGAAATTAAAATGTGTGCATCTACCATCACTRTATGCTTGAATAAATGTTTGTCAGTGTTTATATTTCTATTCTGCTTTTTATTGTRTAAGTTTTTACTCATTTTTGATTGAAGATGACTCTAGAAATGTTGAAGAGGTACCTGTACACGAGGTTATTGATTTTTCTGTAATTATGAAAATGATAGACTGGAATAGTGAGATGTAACTGAGGAAGGCAATTGGAAAGAAAAGTTCAAAATAATATGCTGAAAGAAAAGTATAGATCTTCACTGCAKGATTTAAAGAAGTGTAATCTGGGGCTCCCCTTTTACAGAATGTTAAAAATACAGTTGAACATTTAATACAAGTAGGGGTTGATACAGTTTGCTTATTCTAACAGTTACATTTCAAAGCTGTTCAGGAACATCGTTGGCACCTCCCYTTACCCTGCCCGCCAAATTAAGATCTGCAGATATTGAAAAAGCTGTTAAGAAAATACATCTTCATTGTCCAGAATTATAGAAAAGAAATTTGAGTTTTGTTTGGACTTACCAGAAGTTACTATTTTCTTGGCTTAGTTGCATCTGAGAAGCTTGTAAGGAAAGAGTGTTACAACTTTTGTGAGAAAGGGTATTTAATTGTTCTCCGGGTTTGTGCCTTTTTGTCATTATTGATGTTGGGTTTGTTTTGTTTTGTTTGAAATTTCTAATCTTCAGTGCTTGTCTGTAATAGTTTCCTTGTCTTCAGAAAACCTTATCTCCTTTATATCTGTGGTTTTTCCTACTAGTTTCTGATACTTTGCACTGCTATTAAATTATGGACTTCTTAAAACGCAAGGCTTTACTTGTTCTTGGGTTTTCTCCAGCAGCAACTGATAAAGTAATTGGCTTGAGAAAGTAATGGCTTAAAAGCTGTCTATGGAGATTTAATAATATCCTGAATTTACTCAGTAGACAGTAGTGCAGAGAGAACTTGGAGTGACATCCTTCAAAAAAACTATGTGTTCTGGTGCTTGGAAAAAGTTAAGACAGACWTTTCTTTTGGTGTGACAAATAATAGAACAGATGTGCAGCCGTAATCCATATTTAGGACCTGACCAAGGCATGGGTGTGGCTGTGTCGTACAGCATGGGGACAGATGTTTCACATGCATACCATAAATCCAGCGTGTTGGATTGTCACTGGAGGTGACAGGGTTCTGCAGATAAAATACATTCAGTGAGTTTGTGCTGAAGGCATCTTCTGGTGATRTACAGAAACTTGGAGTTTGATTGCTGATTGTGCTGCCAATGCAGAACTTACTGTCAATATTCAGAGGGGTTGCACATATTCACTGGTAACTTCCTGTATGGTTTTGGACATGAGGTAGTTGCTTGGCAGCTGCTGCTCTAGTGGGGTTCCCTGATGCCCATTGTACTGGGTGATGCTCATGAAGGACAGCAAAAGTCTTTTATTGTCATTAACTAATCTGTTTCTTGTCATTAACTAGTCCCCTGTGAGTTTGATAAACACTTGTACATCAGAGTAGCAGTAAAAACATCCATCCTGTGTGCCATGATGAAAATTCTCAAACGTTCTTWTAACCACAAGTGTATTAGAAGTTTAAACAAAAACAGTGCAAGCTATATTTTCTTTCTGTTATTGCAATCAATACCAATTCTATTGATATCCCTTTTAAAACAGTCCTTTCACATTTAGCTGTTCGTATATGCATGATGTAGTTGTGTGTTTAAATCCTTAATCATCTTTTTTCAGTGTAGAATTTATGCCTGTGTAGAATTTATTAATGCCCTCTCACCTTCAGGCAAGTGACATTGCCTGAGCATGTCCATGTTGCTAAATTCTGTTGCCTTCAAGATGAAGATGAAAGATAACCTCATCCAAATTGATTATTGGGGATGGTCCTTGGCTTCAAGCCTTACCTGTGCCTAGAAGTTGCTTGATGGAGGTCATCTGCCACAGTCCAAACCTTTATTGTGAAATGTTCTAGTACTGTGATAGTGGGCACCAGAGTTTATTGGCAACATCAGACTGAGAAATTTTTTTAGCCTCATATCTCATGAGCAAATGCTTCTTGCTGAGATATTTGTGGAGGATAATTTGAGTTGCCGTAACAGTTTTTATTTTCCATGTTGGGGCATTTACTTGCACATGGTTGTTTTAGGGAAGCCAATGCTTRAMATACATTTTGCTTAAAACTRTTTTATAACATAATSTCAAGATACRGTTTTAAATGTATWMAGTATTGCTTTCTTTTCTGTTCTTRCCATAGTATACCTYATGGAAAGGATGGCAATAGATGTGGATTGTTTTATATCTACTGTGATGCAGTTGCATATACWAGTAAATAGATTYCTTGACTGGTGGATAGGGAATAATSTGTATTCCAGTTCAGTAATAGCCCCTTGCTATARGGGGGAATACTTTTTTGTTTTAGTAAAATGTTAACTGTAGTAACCAGGTAGTGCATMATTTGTAATGTTGGTTTTAAACTGTGTTGGAAGACCAGTAAATATACTGTTGTGCTACTTGTGTTGTTTATAATGTTGTGCTACTGCTATATGTTTTGATTGTGGGAATCAGGACTGGATATTTGCAAGTAACTTTCTATGTGATGCTTACTTTCTCTCCTAGCTGTTCATAAGATAATGTGTTGGAGATGATCACTTGGTTATGCYTCACTTGCAGTAAGTTGCAGCAAGKGTAGTTACTAGGACTACTGGAACCATTTCTTGTCTTTTTGGCTAAGATCAGATGTAGTGCAGTGTAGTATTTCTGGTAGTACATAAAGCTTCTTGCAGGATTGCATAGGACTGCTATATAAAATACACTACTCTGATGTATTTGGGTGTTAGCTTAGTTACAGTCCTAACAAAAAAATTCTAAAACTTATTCAAACTGGTTACAAATAAAAAGTAGTGAGGGGCTGATACTGAAAGACAGTTTTCTAGAAAGCCAATTTTGTTCTTAGTGGTTCTTCAGTGAATGTAGTTTTTGCAGTGGTGCTGAAACACTGGAAATAATTAGGAGTAAAAAAGAAGAATGAACTGAATACTAAATGGTTATTACTGAATAGAAGGGTCTCTGCATAACATGCAGGTGATCTGTCAAATCACTACTTGTATTCCATGTGTGTAATTTAGAACAATATGCATGATTTAGATTMTTTGGTGATGCATTGCTTTTTCAGGTACATGTGATTAAAGAAGTGGCAGCAATGGCTCAAGAAAAGCTTGGTGTGTCCTGTGAAGTTATTGATTTGAGGACCATCTTACCATGGGATACAGAGACTGTTTGCAAGGTAAGGAAATGATGCATATTAGTTTAAAAACAACCTAAGTTTTTTTCAAGACCTAAGTTTTTTGCTTTGTTTTTATATATTGTTCTATATTTTTTGTTTAGTATCATAAATGTAGAGTACATGCACATTACATGGACCAAACAATTGCTTTAGCTAAAAGAGAATTACGTTTCAAGATTCCAAATAATGTCAGAAATGCCTGAAAATTGCTTTTCCGTGATTTCTGACTCTGTCTTTCTGATGTTTTTGCTGTCTTCAGGTCTTCTTCAGGTGAAGACCTTTCTGTTTTACATTAAAATCGTTGTCTAGTTTTATGTTTTCAGTAATGTGCCTTAGTGTTATTAATCTGTTTTTATAGAAAGAAGTATTTTTATTTAAGGTCTGTGAATTCTTGGTTTTAGGAGAAAAGGCAGCATTTACTCTTATCAGACCACCTAGTTTGAAACTCATGGATACTGAAAAGTCCTTTTCTTCTTTGTGGGAATATTTGATGTTGCAAAGCTTATATTTCAAAACACTGAGCAGCTGAAACTGGATTTGAATTCCCATATACTGAATAATCATCTACTTACATGTACCTWGGTCTGCTTCTCTCTTCCCTTCCCTGCTCCCTGTTCCTCTCCCATGCTGCTTTCTCTTCAGCAGTTAGCAGCTTTTGGGAGGAAAGACCTTAAAAGAAATGGAAAGGGGAGTATTTTCCAAAATCTTGGTAAACATAGGTAAGAATCCAAAGACACACTTTAAAAAGTGTCGTTTGTGAAAATTTAAAAATGAACCAAACAAAAAAACCCACATCAAATTTCACCAAACAAATTGGAGGCCATTAAAGCAAAACTTCATTGGTTGTAAAGCTTGGTTTCCCCTATCCCAATTATCTTTTTTCCCCTTGTTCTGATGTAGCAGTTTTTTGCATTATTTTAAGTGCTTGTAATATTTTTTCCTTCATTTTTCACTTGTGTGTTTAATGAGGTACTTTTAACATTATAAATACATGAATAAACTTAGATCCTGCAAATTTAATGTTATTATTGTTAGTCATGAAAATTAGTGTGATGTATCTTCCATGAAACAATTTTTTGTCAAGCTTCTTGAGAACTGAGAGAAGAGCTGCCTCCTGACTGCCATCCAGCAGTGCAAAAGATGATGAATGAGCTCTTGGATTGTAATGCTCTGAAAGGTTCYGCAGGTGGTTTTGTTTCTGCATTATTTACAGCATTAACAATTAAACATAGCCAAAGATTTACCTCTCTGTTTACAGCAATGACTCCCTTGATGCAAGCTTGGACAAGGTGTGTAGTTAGCAGAGCACTTAGTGCTTCTGCTAAAGCTGAGGGTTTCTGTAACCTGGCAAATCCATAGTCCTGTAGGACCGTGGCTAGCAGCTCCTTGGATCCTAATTCAAGCTGAGTAAACTCGCTCATTTTATGCTGCTGAACAAATCACTGAGAAGATTGAGAGATGGCTGCAGCTTTCTTAAGCCAGGCCTGTAACTGTAGTGTACTGTTAACCACAGGGATGAGAACAGCCAAGGGCTTGGAAAAAGGTGTGTGATTCYATCAAATACTTTCTCTGCCTGCAGTTTCTAATTTAAGGCAACAGGATGTCGTATCTACAGCTACCTCAGACTGTGCAGATGTTTAAATAGGGCAGATCAAGCACACCTCCTTATCTGACTCTCTATATACTTGGAACATCATAATTGCGTAGGCAAGTGTTTTGTCATTCTGTGTTTGCTCAGTAAGGATCTTGCTTCTGTTCAGGTAACATAAACACACCAAGTGTGATAAAGGGAAAGACAAGCCATTGGCTGGCTACTCTGTGGCAAAGCTTATATTTCTTCTTAGTTTTATTTGTTTGAGGGAGTGCCAGTGGGACTGGATGGAATAGATTATGGGAAGAAAGATCCATGTTGTGCATCTGCTATTGGCAGTGTCCTTCTGTCTGATTGTGGATGTGTTACAAATTGCATACTTATATGTGTAAATATGAGTTGCCTCATATAAATTTGATCTTCTTGGTTGAAGTGTTTTCATTTTTTTATTTGAAGTGTATTTCTTGTTACTTGGATGTACTTTCTAACTGTAAAATATGAAATGTGTTGAGCTTCTGTCATCAATATGAGGTGAAAATTTGGCCATAATAAATCCTTTACAGTCTGTTCTGGACAAGTAAAATGATTCTTTGTTTTTGTAGGTTTTTTTTTCCTTCTTTGAAGATTTGAGCTGTCATTCTTTGAAAACAAAGTATCTCTTTGAAAGAGCAGTTATGTCTGTTGAGTTGGACTTGCACTGAAACACCATCAGGAAAAAATGTAGCTGTGCATAGGAAGTGCAGAGCTTTAGTTGTACAATATTTTGCAAATACGTTTTTTCAATTTGGATAGTTCATGAAGATTTTCAGCTCGTGTTCTATCCTGAACATCTTTTAAGATAACTGTGGCATAAATAAAAATATCATGGCATGGGTCTAAAAGGACTTTGAAGATCATGTAGTTTCAACTCCCCTGCCACAGACAGGGACATCTTCCATTAGATCAGGTTGCTCAGAGTCYCATCCAAGCTGGCCTTGAACACCTCCAGGGATGGGGCATCCACAACTTCTCTGGGCAGCCTGTTCAGTGCCTTGCTGCCCTTACAGTGAAGATATATTTTTCCTTAATATGTAATCTGAACTGACTCTCAGTTTGAAGCTATCCCCCCTTGTCCTGTCACTACATGYTCTTGTAAAAAGTCTCTCTCCATCTTTATTGTAGGCTCCCATCAGGTACATGAAGGCTGCAACTAGGTCACCCTGAAATCTTCTCTTTTCCAGGACAAACAATCCTAGTTCTTAGTGTTTCCTTGTAGGAGAGGTTCTCCTTCTTTCTAAAATATAGAACAGATGGACCTGTTGCGTTAAATCTGTTAATAAGATTACTGTTAAGAATTAAGAGAGTAATTTCAAAAAAAAGTATAGTGCCTGTTGGCCAGGCAGTTGAGCTGTTTATTATAATAAATACCAAATAGTAAATGTTTTTAGTTAGCACTGTTGTTATGCTAGTTTGGCTTCATGCTGGTCTGGCTGATGGGAGAAATGTTAAAKTCTCTTCTGTAGATCTTGTGTGTTTTGCTCAGCTGAAAATAATTAGTGGTTTGCATTTGTACATTAGTTGGTTGCATTATGTAACACTGAAACTTTTTAAGTTTAATTTTCATCCTGGACAGCTTTTAAGGTGATTGCCAATGTAAACAGAGGGGTGGAAACTACAGTTCTAACTACTTGCTGTAGCCTTATCCCAAGAGGAATTGCTGCTCGCGGCAGCTTTTGCAGTTGACAGTGGCTTACAGCATGACTTTGGGTGATGGACTTGTTACTCCCTTCCTGAGGTACCAATGTCAGGGTCCAAAAGGGAAGTTGAAAAGCTGACCAATACAGAGAAAGTTCTTAGCTGTCCATTGTTCGCTTATGTACTCTTTGTGGGCTCTTAAATGGTAATGGAATTGCTTTTACCCCAGTCCAACCAATAAGGAAATTATCGGCTGTTACAGGCTGCCCTTTGCCTCAGACTATTACATGTGTCAACACTCATAAACATCAGGCCAACTTTTTGTTTTCCCTTGTCTCACGTTGAAATGTGTTCATTGTCTCTTAGTCCTGTGAGATGCAGATGATGATGCATGTCATACACTGGGACCTTATTGCTCTTCTGCCAGTGCTGGGATGCATGATCCTTGGCTGATGGGAGTCTGCATGGTATTGGAGGCCAGGACTTTGGGTTTTGCTGTAAAAAYACATTGCTCAGTTTTCCTGCTGGGAGTGGTGTCCTTTGCGATCAGTAAAGGCTGTCATTTGAGTCTTACTTAGCTGGAAATACATGCAACTTCAGTTTGACAGCTGTGGTGTAGCATGAAGAGAGATGGGCTGAAATTGTTAGTGCTTTGGAGAAGAGCAATAGTATGTAAAAATTTTCACTGCAGATCTAACTGTTTAGTCTGCTTAGTGTAGCTTTTACTTATAGAAAATTATGTCATCAAAATGCATATTTCCTAGAACTATGAGAAGTTGTACTTCACAACTGCCACCAGAGGCCTCTTCTAGTCAGGTTAAGCGACTGTTTTGACTTCGCATTGCTCCTATAAGGGTGTTTCTGAATACATAGCTCTGGGGGAAACTATTTATAAATAAACATAAAGAATAAATATAGTGAACATAAAWAAAAACTGCTGCCTAATTTTACTGATATTTTCTTTTCATTGGGATTGCGCTCAATTTTGAAATAGGTTAGCATTTGTCATCTGTATGMGGAGATGAATTGTCACCTCCCTGGAGCAGACTACCATGAACTTTGAATGGATCYCAGCAGTAATTGAAACTTTTTTTGGTACAATTCCTGGAATGGGTGAACATGCAAACAGGGGCTAGATTTTTCTTTTGTTAGTCTGAGAAGGAGAAATGAAGTTTGACCTAGTTACAGGAGCTCATAGAGCTATTTTGGAGAAAGGGTATTTCCTGTGGGTCATGCATCACAACTGCTTCATCAGGCTGTTTTTTTAATGAGATGAATTGGCTTCTGGAAATGTCATGGTTTAAAAGTTTGGTCTTTTAAAAAACAAAAGATTTAGGGAAACATTAGTTTTCCTACAGTAAAGTTAGGTGAGGCAAATTGAACTCTAATTTTGCGGCTGGGAGATGATACCTACTGCTGACRTAAAGGATGTAAGTAGTTGGCTGCTTTAAAAACATATCTGACATATCTTTACTAGGATAAAAGCAAAGAAACTGTGTGTATGTGTTTTATATACATTTCTATACATTAAAATGCATGCTGATCTGTAACCTTTCTAAGCTCTTTCACAAGAAAAATGGAGCAGATTGTACAGGCTGTACATGCACAGAGCTCCAGTATGTTGCTTTTGAATGAGACATGATGCAAAATCAAACATGTGCTTTTTCCCTAGAGGATTAAAAGTAAACCCAACATCAACTCCCAATATGTGTCTGTATAAGTCAACTTGCAAATC